TAACTGTTTTGTTGGCTTGTCAAACTTCGAATTTCGAATAAAGCACTTGAAGTTTTGCTCTTAACAGTTAACACCACTCACTCCGGGTAAAAAGAAGAAAACGGCTGCGCCAATTCTGTTATCCCAAACTGCCGGATGTAAATAAAACCTTGTAAGAAACAGAACAAGAACGTCTCCTTGTTTTCAGATCTTTAAGTTCTATCCGATGATTACTCGTTGAGACAATCTTTGTCGAGAAGCTTTAGTCTTATGACCGGAGTAAAGCAAATGACACAACTTCTCTTTCGATTCAATACGTATATTTCTGATGCAGCGCAACAACAGTCCAGACCAGCAATGAGTGACCAGAGGAGCGTTCGGACGCTCCTTTATAGACAATGTATGCGCGGAAAGGGTTACTGACCGCGCAGGACCGGAATAAACAGAAAGTAAACCGAGTCATGTGAATGACCGGTCAAAAGTAACACATTCCGGTGCTTGAACTAAAAAGCGTTGCTATGCGGATCTCACACATGAAACACAGTTCGAGAACGGGGTATTATTACGCTGTTCGAGGACTCACAATTTAAGATGACAACTCATAATAATATGTTGACCAGAAGCTGGCCAGCACTTCCCGCATGAATTGAAGATGTCAAGCTCGAAGTACCATCGAATGTAAAACCAACTCTGATTTTTGAAAGCAAACGTTCAAAACAAATATGGTCGTTCTCACGTCCTATTCCATTGAATAAGAAATACCAATCTTGAGGACGTTTCTCCAAAAATCGGGCAAGTTATGTTTTTCTGAAGACGCGTCAATGCGCATTGTGAGAACAATTCCTTAAATTTAAATGGAAATGACTGGAAAAGTCATTAATTGTAATCGGGATATTTGTTGCATTTTTGGGTGAGGTTAGAAGTACTGTACTATTCATTAGAATTTTTGAGGCCTTTCAGTGGCTGAATAATTAAAAGCCATTGGCGAATTAAGAGAAAGCGGAATTTTCTTTGACATAGAATCTTTTTTGATGTGAGTAAACGTTTTTCTCTGCAGCTGAAAATTTCACGTAAAACAAAGTAGGAGTTCTTTTTAGGCAAGATTCGTATGACATTGACTGTACTTCACTCTCTGGCTTCAGTGCTCGTGATGGTGCAATCTCTATTTATTATATTTCTAGTTAGATTATATGTTTCTCTCCTAGTTAAATTCGTGACGTGGAAAAAGGATTCTTGAATTTTCATTCCATGCTGCATGAAAAAAATAAAAATCGTTTGTTTTTGGAGGGGCAGATAAAACAGTGCTTGGTTTCTTCCCATCGTGTAAACCCGGCTGGTGAATTAGCCCAAAAAAGACCCGTAAGTACTCTTTCCTGAACCTCTTATCTTATGGACAGAAAACTGAGGGTCCTTTTACTTCCACTGCAGTGATGACAGCGTTGGGTTACTAGTTTACGACCGACCAACCCAAACAACTGGTCCCTTTTATGCGGGCTCACGACGGTTCTGTTGACAAACTGCTCAAATTTTTGAGGACCCTCCCTTGTTCTGATTAACCCGTGCATATCCTTCACCCACGAACCTCAGGTGCGTTGCAATATTTGCATGGGGTTTGACGGCGAATATATAATGAAGAATAGTTTCAAGGCATTACACTATTACGAGTTGAAGTTTCTTTGAGTTGACTTATGTTAAAAATAATATTTGCTGCGTAAACTGGACGAGAAGACTGGTACTTCATACGATGTTCATTTTGGTTTTAACTGGTGTGCCACTGTTACAGTACTTGGAATTTTGCGGATTTCCAAAAGTCAAAACTTTATGAGGAGAAAAACTGCTATTATTCATGCAAGAAACGTCTGCGAAAATGCCAAGGGTCGATGGAACATTTTGGAAGGCCCTGCAGGAAATGTAAAAATTCGCTTGAGTAAAGATTGCTCCGACCTTCGCAGGTGATCAAGTAATCTGCCTTTCTTATACCAGTGGTACCTGGAGCTTTATTTTTATTTTCGAAAAGTACTGACGTTATCGGGAAAGCTGGCAGTTGGATTTTTGACCACAAATCTTCCCGTCCGCATTTTTCATCCGTGCAGACCAGGTGCACCTCAAACTCTCATATCTCTTTCGGTGCTCAATTATTGTGTTTTTTTGTGCGCTGCTCAAAGAGGATGACGCAAAGGACCTCTTCGAGAAAATTTACTCAAAGTAACAGGTAGTCATTACTGCAAATTGTCCTCGTAGTCCGTTTTGACTGACGATCACTGACTGGTGCGTTCATGGACCCCAGTGAAGCTAAAGTTGATAGCATTCCGCTTTCGTTGCCGGTTCAGAATAATTCCTAGTGCAGTGCAGTACTGTACTCGGTTTGGCATCCTGAGAACTTGACTGCGAGCTGCCGAATTTCAACAAATTTTTTTCTTTGTCGCGTTTGAGATATAATTCAGGAATGCCCGCCGCTGTTTGCAGCGGAAATTTTTATATAAGCGATCGGTGGGAGAAATTAGGCGAGTCGCTGCTTAAAACGAAGGTGTCGGAATGCGTGGGAAGTGTTTTATGTATTCGACTGCGGAGTGAAGTCGGGTACTCAAGTACGTTGTTGTGAAGGAAACAAAACCCCGTTGTGAGATGGGGTTTCGAGTTTTCTCTCTCTTGGGCACTCGGCACAGCTGGGGCTCGTTCATCCTTACCTTTGCTGCTCGACTTTTCATTTCGTTTTCCCCCCTTCTCTGTTTTTGCCCCATGGCTGGTCTCAAAAGCCCCTGACGTTGCTCCCGAGATCACCTGGAGGGGAATCCAATTTTTGTTTGTTTCGCATTTAGTGAAAATACTGTGCTGCATATCGAGACGAAAGCAATGGATGGGCTGCAGAAGGAACTCCCACGAAAAAAATAATAATCTGATGGGAAAATACTTTGCAGGGAATAACTTCTGTCAGCTGCAGAAATTGTGGCTGGTACTGTATTTTGAAACCGCTTTGAAAAAAACTTGAAATTGTGCGTTGTATCACTGCTGTAAATTTTAAAAATTATTTTTTGAAAGCAGCTCATCGGAAATCTGTTTCAGTTCGTGTATTTTTAAAGACACGTTGCGGATTCCTCTTATCATCGTGAATAACAATTGAGAAGAATCAAGAAGAAGCATGAGAAGAACTCATAATATCCTCTTAACGATAATTTAGTTCAAGTGGGAGTTTTTCGTTGCGCATGGGCACATTTCATACTCGTGGAATTTTTTTTTTTTTTTTGGAATTTTTTCAGGGTGACCCCCTGAATGAGGCAGGGGGTAAAAGTTGTTTTATTTTTCTTCCTGCTGCGTTTGTTGGTCCTCCCTGGTTTGTCTTCCCTGTGTTGCAACCGTTTCTTTTGCAGTGGGTGGCAAACGACTTTGCGCCCCGCAGAAACACTTGGAAAAACCCTGGAGATATTTTCATGCGTTCTTTCCAGTCTCGGAAAAGAAAGCTCAAAGTTTTCCCAGTCGCATTTTTCAACGAAACTTTTCGATGGCTGTGCGTGGTTTTCTTACGTCGTCGTTCCGACTTGGGTTATAATTATTCATGTGCCTGATTTTCGATTCATTTTATTTTTCTTATTCTGGGAATCGGACGGAAACGAAGTCGTGCTGCGCGTGTTTCCTCCGGAAGATCACTTTTTCGCCTTCGGGGTCACGAAGAAGGAAAACATTCCTTCAGCTGGTTTGAAATAGCTTTCTACAGGGATAGCTCGATTTAATAAACCGATTTTAAAACACGGGTGGAATATTTCATGGACCACAAGCGCAAAAAAACTGCGGGGAACTCCAAAAACACTACAATAGGCAATATAAGTAAATCCATTAAAATTGACCGATTAATTCCAGCGTGGTACAAGAAAAGCTGGTATTAGACATAAATCAGAGGAAATGCCAGAAATAATTTCAGTCCATGAATTTTCAACTTCTCGATGCATTCAAGTGCTGACCGTAATAACCATAATATGTGGCTTTGAAATGAAAACGATGTGTCACGAAAGTGTTGAGGAGCCATTCAGCTTTTCGGCATCGGAAAATTCGATCAAAGAAGAATTCAAACCTTCTCATACTTGACAAGGTTTTTTTTAAAAGCCCACCTCATATTTGTAGAAGCGGAAACTTGGTCATACCACAGTAGAATCTCATCGTTACGAGGAATCTAAATAAAACGAATTATTGTTTTACAATACAACGAAGTCATTTTCAGGCTCCTGCTCAATAGAAATCGCGTTTTACCGAGTTTTTTTATTTTAAAGAAATTTTTCCCGGTCCCCAAAAGCTTCGTTGTAACGAGATTTTCTGTATTACAGCTGAAAATTGAAACCTTTCATTCGAAGAAAACGGAAACTCAGTTTATTTAGCCATGCTGTCAGAGCTGCAAATGAATATTGATAAATCAGCAAGCATTTGATCATCTTTCAAGTGAGCTCGCACCGTTCTTTGGTTTCCGTCGTTTTGAGGCACTTCGAAAAATAGGGTGGGCCAAAATCTTTCGGTCTACCCTGTATAGCAGCACGCTTTCCCAATTCCAATTTGCATCCCAAGCAGCTCTCTAGATTACTTTAAAGAGAAGAAGAAAAAAAAACCGTGTATCGTTGCCGGCTATTTTCCGGAATTTTTACTCGTGATGGCCCAACCGTTGTGTAGTCGGTCAGTCCTCGACGGGATGGATAACAGCCTTGTGCTGTAAAAGGAGTTGTTGTATCAGGAGCAGATGCGTTACGATTTTGATGACGGCGACGCGTTTCGATCGGAGAGCGAGTTCTGAATTATTCAGTTTCCTGACAGAATTATTTATTCTCCCCGTCTCGGCGACCTGTCAGATTTTTACCTTTTCTCTTGACCGATGCGAAGAAGGCGACTTCCTCTTCATTCGTGTTTCATTCGCTTGCGCATGTTTATTTACTTGCGATCAGGAAAGTTCGCACATTTAAATCGCGTTATTATTTCCGAGGACGAATTTTATCGTGATCGCAACAGTTATCCGCCGGTGTTCCGCAAAAAATAAAAATAAAATGCAGGGGATACCGTGTATCAGAGCTTTACTGAAATACTGTGAATGCAATAAATAAATGCAATAAATATTAAAATAAGACGAAATAGGTGCATTTTTGTCGACGGGAGTCGGAGGGAAACTTGATTCGAAAAAGCTGCGATCGGAAATAATTTTGCTGGACCTGCGAGATTCCTTGTAAAATATTTGTATTACTCGCTTTGGGGGATAAACTTACTGTATTAATAAAATCACCTTTTTATGCGTTTCAGGTCCGCCAAGAATCTCAGATGTCGTGGAGCCCATTGTAGCGAATGCCGGGGAAACGTTGAAACTTCCGTGTCCCGTGGACGGGGAACCGTATCCGATGTTTGAGTGGTTCAAGGTGAGTAAACGGGGTGATGCTGTTTTTGTTTGAATCTCGAATGAAAGTCAAAACTCTTATATCGACTTCATTAGGAGCAATAATTCGATGAGAAGTGTGAGGCAGGATTTACGAATCAAAGCGAAAATGGTCGGCGTTCTTTATATCGGATACCTAGACTCGCCTTAATGAGTTTCCCCTAGTAGATACGAACGCTGCTAAGAAACTGGTTTTCTTCAGGTCATGTTGTCACGAGATGGATTTCGTCGTGGTCGGGAAAATTTTTAAAAACGTAAAAAGATTGAATCATCTACGTATTTCGAGGCTTGGCAAACAATTTTCCTTTTTTATCCAAAAAACGCCAAATTCGCTAAAGAAAGCTCGTGGCTTGAAGATAAATTTTAGAGATTTGCTGCAAAATGACTGAAGAAATCTGAAATTTGGACACATATCATTCATTTAAATAATTGTAAAAGTGGGGAATATTATAAAAGGGAAATGTGAAGAACACGGGATTGAATAATGACTCGATTTCGAAATTTCTCAAAGTTTCCGTTGTTGTTCAAAATATTGACGCTGTGTCTCAAAATTCGAATACCTTATATTTCTGTTTCCATAAAAAAAATTACGGAAATTTTTATCAAGAGTTTCTGCACAAATCTGAATGTTTGACCGAAATGATTCGTTGAACTCTTTCGAATCTGAAGGGATATCCACATTTTTACCAGCCTTAAAATATGTTGTTTGCGGAGGGCTTATCCAGTTCTTGAAAATTAGAAAATAACAGGAATCCCGTAGGAAAAGCCATTATCTGGATTTTGAATTTGAATGTTCCGGCCCTACTGATTCATTTGGTTGCATTTTTCGGATCAAAAGCGTTTCGATCATTTGACAATTCTGTTTACGGATCGTGAAACAGACCTCAAATGTCATTTGTGAATAGATATACTGTACGTTCGGAATGTCTGGATAATTGAAGCCTCTTTCTTATAGGGATCAGTATCTCGGTTAAAACTTAACTCGCATCCTGTTCCACAAGCATAAGAGAATTCAGAACATGGAGGCGTAAGTTGGGCTTTTCGAGTGACGCTCGGTCGCTCGTCGAGCTCATCCAACCCTCCTTTTTATGAGAAGTTTTGGGGTAAAGGCAGCCGTTGCTTATGAGGTGTTCAGATGTCGAAAGAGTGGGGACAGGTTTGATAAATGATCACCGTGCTTCATCAGGACGGCGAGTCGCTGATCATGGCCGACGACCGGATCCGCGCAACGAAGAACGGGCTCCGCATCAAAGAAGCCGAGGTGGACGATTCTGGCATCTACGAATGCAAGGCTGTCAACGGGTTCGGTCAGGTTTCCATCGAAGTTGAGCTTTGGATCAACGGTGAGTCACTTTGCTCTATGCTTCTCATAATTATCGTCGCGTGTCGGCAGAATAGGAACCCTGCGAACCTGTAGGATGTCCAATGCCCAACTTTGTGGCGTAGTGGCGTATTCGCGGCCAGTTTCTCTGTCCGTCGTCGTCGAATAAAATGCGCAATTTTAGGTTGCCGTATCTAAGCTCTAAAGCCAGGCTGATCTATATTGTCATTCATCAGCAGGGCAAGAGAACTCGGGTATATGTCCAGCTTTGTCAATATGCCTGTGAAATCCGTATTTGGCAACTTTTTTTCGGTTTTGACGAATCGTTGATGAGTTTTTTTCGAATGCTTTCGGTTTCAGAGTATTATATATTTTTTCAAATGAGAACTATTGTATTATAAGTATTTTGAAAAATCGAATTATTTATTAATAATCGAAAGCAAAAAGTTGTCATTCGGATCACCAAGTTTGAGGCTAACACCGTCCTTTGATAATAAATTTACCGTTCTTCTCAAATGCAGGATTGATTTGAAAAGCTTTCATCATCCGATAATTTATTTCATCCCGGGTTTTGCATTCTATGACCTCGTACCTACAATTCGATGGGTTTTTTCAAATATTCAGGTGAACTTCATGACTTCTGATCAACGCAAGGGTTTTGGATAAACATTTATTCTGAAATTGAGCTGAACAATACCTTACTTATTGTCAGCAAAATGGTTATTTATAATAGCTGTTGAAAGCGTTCTGAGGACTTGAGCTGGTAACTGAAGCACAAATTGAGTAAAATGAATAGTATCATTTGACCCCAGAGAAATTGACTGTAATAAAATCACGTCTTTTGTTATTTGTTCACTCATTTTGAGGGGCATTAAGAAACCGATTTGTTTCTTATAATTTACGGCATCGTATATTCGAAGAAGTTTTGCTTGTAAAGAGAATGATCCATTGTTTTCGACATAGTTTCGCGAGGTTTGAAGAGGTCAGCTTCTGTTCAATGCAATTTTCTGCTTCTGATTCTTCGTTTCGAAAAAAAATCGTTCGTAAATCGTAATATTGGGTCACGAGGTTAAAAAAAAATCGAAAAGTCCTAGGAAGTGAATGAGGCTGCTGGGTTATGTTATTTATTTTTTATTTTTTCGCAGTTCGCCATCACGTTCACGTCTTATCGCTCTGTGCGTGTGTACCCTAGATTTTGATATTCAAACGCTCGGACGCGACGAACGACGTTGTCCATCGCACGTCCATCCACTCAGCAACGAGTTCCTCAAGTCACGACCTTATATTATTTTTTTCTTCTTCTTCTCCCCTCTTCCTATTGCATACAGTATTATGCTTCCAAAGTACGAGGCGCGAGGGGAAAATACGGAAGTCAAGGTTTCGTCGAGGTGTCTCGAATATGGGGAGAAGATTTCTGTGTGTGTGTGTGTGTGTATTTCCTGGGGGATTTTTGCGCGTGAAATTCGATCCTGGCGAAAAACAGTCTCAGTGTTTCGTCGTGAGGATATAAGTAGAGGTCGTCGGGGTAGGGGAAGGAATGTGGGGGGGATGAGAACTGCAGTGTTTCCCTGTTGGGGGGGGGTGCAAAGCGACTGGAACCACCCAGAACCAAGTTTCTCGCCTGTCATATGTGGCTGCCTGGCTGGATTCTTTTTGGGACTCGGGGAAGCGTCGATTGACGTCGCTCGGCCTGCTGGCGATGTTGCCAGCTGGCTTGTATTTCATCTCTCTTTCACCCGAGACTTCCCGTCATGTTTTTCTCGAGTCTGTGTGCGTGTGATGCCCAGAGCTTTTTTTTTTTTTTTTTTGGTTGTGGCGTCAGGTTCGTGTTGTTGGTTGATTCCTCGGGAAATGACTTGAAAATTACCAGACCTGAGGATCCGATTGCAGGTTTTTGGTTTTATTTTTGTTTGTTGGTTGTTTTTGTTGACAGTTTATGAAGAGTATGAGCCATCTTTTTCAGAGACGGATTCTGCGATCTGTTTCGTATAGCCTCGCTTGTCAAACTTTGAAGCACGAGTGCGTGAGTTTAGAATAAAATTAATACTGTATCTCTAAGTGTATCACTGACTCTCAAGTTATCCCTCAGAAAATCGGCATAAGATATCAAGGCTTGTCTTTCTGATCCAACTGTTCACTTGGTTTTTTTTCTTCATAAAAATGGAGAAAATATATTTCGGGAAATACTCCTAAATCCGATCGTGGTGTAGTCTTTTCGATGAGACTTTTTTATTTTTGGGCAGATGTTGTTTAAAACCTTCTGATTGAAATATTCTGCTTTCCGGGTTCTGTAGTAATTATCATTGAGACTTCGCTCATCGGCCCAGTAATTCACTTAGTTTAGCTAAATCAACCAAGGAAGAAATACTTCAGGACGAAATCTTTAATTTGCTGTTTTGTCTTTCTGAATTTGAATTTTTGCATATATGGCGAAAACGTTTTTTGCTCATCTTTCCTGCGTCATTATATACCCTTATTTTCCAGTAACCTTCAGACAATTTCTTGGAAGTTATTAGACCCAAAGTTCACATGCGAAATGGAGCAGATCAATCTATTTTTGGACGATCAGCGCGTCTTTATGTAATTTTTCAGTCTGAATTCCTGTCATCCCTGGAGTGAAAAAGTGTTGTAATTCGATTTACAAAATACCGTATCACGATGCAGAATCTTCCCTGTATTTCTTCGCACCTTGTTGTTGGGCTGTTGTGCAGAATTTTCCAGGTGTTTTCCTCGGACTTGAGCGAGGCGTAAATCGCAATGCGTCAATTTCGCGAGAGGCCAGTGTTTTGATTCGAACCACTTATTCGCCGGCTTCCTTTTGTTTGTCGATGAAGATGCTTCCCGTCGATTCCTTCAGGCCTCAGGGTAAACAACTGAAATGCTAGTGAGATTCAGTAGCACTGCTAACCTGAAACCTCTGCCAGGGGCGCCGAAGGAAAGAGACGCGGCAACAATAAAAAAAAAATACATTCACTGTATTCGTGATGAATGAAGAAACAAAAAAGAAGGAACAACAATGATAACCTGAGGACTGCCTCGGCGGAAATGATCCTGCGGAAAAACTGGGGCGGGTTCAGCAAAACACGCCCGTGGGGACAAAAACCAGGTCGTGTTGTCAATCCCGTGGCAGAATTCTTGCTTGCTTGCATAGTAGTATTTTTTTTGCGCTTCCTTTATTTCCTTTTTTTATTCATGGATATTTTTCTTGTTTCTTTCTACCTCTGGTTTCAGCGACGGGTAAGTGGATTAAGTGCTTCGCACGCAGGGCTGCAACGAGTTAAAAACTGCCCTGCTTGTTTTCCCCGTCGACTTGTTTTCGCGACGCGAACGACAGGAAGACCACGATGATCTCTTTTTGCTTGGAGAGGGTGCAACTTGAATTTTTCCAATTCCGCCTCAGCTCACGATGTTTTTAGCATTTTTCTTCGCAGTAAAAAAAATTTCCTTGCGTAGAGTAACGAAAAAGAAATTCAGTTTTTATGAATAAATTCACACGACGGAAAATTTGTTTCGCTGGTGAGATTCACCGTAGCTTGAGCATGCTAAAATGCAATCGTTTGAAGTATGTTCGCGGGGGAGTTTTTGTAATGGAAAGGTTTTATTTCATTGAAATGTTCAACCTTATTTGCTCCCTTAAAAGTTGTGAAACTGGGGTTATCATCGAAAGGGTAACTTTTGACACAAGCTCGTATAGTTCAGGTCGAGTGGCGTTTGAATTCAAGTGGCCTCATCCGGATTCGTGATGGATTAAGTTGGTTTGATGATGGATACGGTCAGCAGCGAATTTTCGAGAGTAGGGTATTTCAAAATAATTTATGTTAAAAAAAAAAAACTCCAGCACATCACGCTTGATTATTGTGAATCTGACCCGGGATTTTTACATGTTTTATTCAAATCTGACGTTCGTCGAAGTACAAATTGATCTGATACGCGGATTATCTTATTTCAAATGCGCGTCAATATGCGGGTGTTTCAGTACTAATGTACATGCCTACGTAAATCGATTGAAAGATATGCAAGCGCACCCGGGAAATGAGTGTTTTTTTTTGTGCATTTTTCGAACAGTTTTCCTAGTTTTATTTTTCCACCTAGACCTAAACAAAATGGCCTCCAGAAAATCCTCCCACGAATTGAGTAAGATATTCGTGTAACAGAAAAATATAAATCAATTTTTTCGCAGGCATCGCAGAGAATTATGTTTTTGAGTTTGACCGCGAAATCATTTGCTAAATCTAACCTGTGACCACGAACGGGTATGATGCATGAATTATGCTTTAAATTTTGTCGAGAATTTTAATTCATTATTTATAATTGATTTATAATCATTTTCGAGTCCTTTTAAATTATTTTAACGGGTTTCACCTGTTTTTTTTTTTCGGGGGTGAAGTTCGTCATTGTATACTTACGAGTGACACAATTTTTTTTTCGGTCGTGTGCCCATTACCGTAATCATCATGCACAAGTACTTCACGACGAACCCCTCTCTGCTAATACGCTGACGCAAAAAAAAAGTCTGGGTACCAGCACTTCGTACGCGTCGTCGTAAAAGCCTGTGTCGACATTCGGTCGATTTTTCTCTGTCACTCGCGTTGTTTTTCTGTCTGGGATTCGCACGCCCTCGTGCGCAACCCTCTGCAAGCTTTTTTTTTGCATACCGTTTCTGCGGCATATGTGAAGGGAAACGGCGTCAGGTGAAAGAAGCGAACATTTTACAGTACTTCACTTTCATGCTCCTCTATGTGAAAATAAGTTGAAAACATTTTGGTAAGCGCTGTAGTTCTCGCCGAGGGAGCGTTTTCCGCGATTTATTAACCTCTTCGGAAAAAATATCTTACATGAGGCAAAGAGATTCTCGTTACCAATATTTTTTTTATGAATGTATTTAATACAGTATGTCTTTTTGGAGTTCGTTTTTTACAAGGTTCTATACTTTACCGCATAACTTGTTTTCGACGAACCGTCCAAAATTGCGAGTTGATCGGAGGGAAGAAATCGGCGAATTTATTTTAATTTTAGCTGCGTTTGCCCATTTAGATCGACTTTCATTTCATTGAGTAGGTCTTATGAAATTAATTAAGCATGAAAAGCGTCAGTAAAATTGAATGAGTGAGAAGATTTTATGAGAATTACGTTGAGAAGAAATAAGCTTTATGCATAGCCAGTTTCAACGATAAGTTTATGAGTGCTCTTCGTGTTCTGTTACTCGTATAGTGATTTTCCCTTGTTTTTAAATTAATTTCACTTCAAAATCTCGGTGAATATTTGTAAAAATGTTAATTGTTCATTTATTTATTTCTACTTATCCCATACAACGCATAATTCGATTCGTAGCACCCGATCATAATTTCAAATAATCGATCAATTTTTAGTTCATTGACTAGCAAGATTTTCTGAAGGTTTCTTTCGTCGTGGCAAATTTTGAAAATTCAGAAACGTGGATCTGTCTTTGTGGTGACATCATTTTAAAATCGATGGACCTTGAAGGAACTGTTTGTTTCTGTAGATCCGGTCGTCGTCCAGTTCTGCGTAGGATTAATTAAATTGATCAAGAACGTAGTTTCGAGCCAGTCGTTCATGTTTTAGAATAAGTCTTTCGTCACTTCGCGTCGGACTCTAATTTACGATTGGTTGGCATTCGTTGCATTATTCATGGCGAGTCTCACTCAGAGGATTTTAAGTACTAGTTGATGGACAAGGTCAGGCATCGATCGAAGTACTATAGACGATACGAAGAATTTCGAAGAATAAATCAGTTCGTTGTTCGGGTTTCGAAGGAGGTTCAGGATTTAGAAAAAAGTACGGTAATAAAAAGAAGAGAACGATTTATTTCTTCCCTTGCAAAGGAATATTTCTTTTCGAACCGAGATATTCAATGGTTGATACTTTTCGACAGAAGTTCATAGATGAAGCTTCTTGCAAGAAGGAAAAAAAACTGGATTTATTTGCAAAAAATCGTATGGCCGATTAAAGGTATCGTTACGTAGGCTCGCATCTGAATGAATTGATGACAAAAGTTGCCCATCAACTCGAGAAAATCCAAGCAATCGATGAAATAAAAAAGATTATAAATTTTCAAGAAAAGTTTTCTGAGAGCCAATTCGGCAACAACAATTTAAAAATCAGAGGAAAACTGCGAAGCCTTGTCTTCAGTCTGCTGGCAACCAAAGCAGTTTGTGCTGTCCCAAGCAATAA